CAACATAATATTTTAATATTTTTAATATTTTACAAATCATCATAAAAATAGCTGCCGCAAGAATTGTTTAGGAAGATGCAGAAACTGATTACTTATTTGAAGAAAGAAGGAGACGCAACAATAAATATCATTATTTTTTCGTGAAAATAAATTAAGATTTTGGCAGAGTGTTACGAAAAGAATAAATTGACAATATAATGGTTATACATGAAGTTGAAATAAAAATCCAAAAAGTCAAAATGTTTCGACTTTAAAGGTTAAAGTCAAAATGAAAAGTCGAAATGGTCGAAATTATGTCATATCACATGATTTTTATATATAAAAAAAAAATAAAAGATATACGATCTCAGTCAAATTCACTCCGATTCATATTAAACAACTACCATTCAATTCCTCGTGACTAGTCGAATCCAATGAGTTAACATTTATTAAGTTTGGATCATCCCATCTCGAGATATTTGCGATTGTATTTCGAAATCCAGACTCCTTTATTTAAAGTAGAATTTATTGATTTATAATTTCAGCCTATAATACAATTGCGAGTATCTCGTGATTGGATGATCCAATATCAATGAATGTTAGCGTATTGGATTCGTCTAGTCACGAGGAATCGAATGGTAGTTTTTTATACAAATCAGAGCGATATTAATTGAGATCATATATCTTTTGTTTTTTGTTATTTCTAAATATAAAAAATCATGTGATATGACGTCATTTCGACTATTTCGTGACTTTAGCCTCTAATAGTCGAAATGATTTTGACCATTTTGATTATTTCGGATATCTAAAATAATCCATTTCAACTTCATGTATAATAACAGTGATTATTCTTCTCATTAATGCAAGCAAAAGTAAAGAAATCTGGTAAGGGATTATAAAGTAAATAAATAAATAAATAATAATATGTTGATAAATATAACTTAATAAGTAATTAATATGTATTCTTTAAGACTTTTGTGATTGGCGTAATAATGCGATAAGAGGAAAAGGTGATCGTATAATAGGAAACAATTTTATGATCTATTTCAAACTAGATTTTAGGATAGGCCAGGTAATTATTATGTTTAATTGATAGTTCTTAATAAAAATTTTAAGAATTTTTAGATTTATATTAAGTATTTTTTACATTTTTTAGTTACGAAGCATCATCGAAGGAGAGCCCATAACATGTCGATAGCAAACCAGTAGTTGGAGGTGAGAAGTAGGGAGTTTAATTTTTTTATTTTTTATCAAGGTTTTAATTTTTTTTTTTACCAGAAGTGAAGTTTTTATTTTGTGATATTTATTTTTTTATTAGTTTTTTTTATTATTTTTTTTAATTTATTATTTTTTGTTTTTTTTTATATAAATAAATAAGAAAATGTCTATTTATAATAACTTGTTACACATTTTTATTTGTAATAACCTCAAAAATTATGCGATGCGTAAAATATCACCCATTTTTTGTGTGACTTTTCTGTTATATGAAAACTATAGCATGTCACAGATTTTTGTGTAATGTATCTATTATGCGAAAACTTCATTGCATCACACATTTTTGTGTAATATTTCTACTGCGTCACGTCATAAATTTTTTGTATAATAGTTCTACTGCGTCATGTTATACATTTTTGTGTAATTTTCTATTATATTAAAATTGCATTTTTGTGTAACATAATTATCTTTGAATAAAAAAAAATTTTTTTCTCAAGTTCGTATTGTATCATATAAAGATACTTATACTATAATTTAGTAATAAAGGCAGCTAAAAAAAAAAACTAAAAAATAGTTAATAAAGTGTACAAATATTGTAACTAGCAGAATTGTAGTAATTTACTTTAGTTTTTTTTGCATTTCAGCTATTTTTTATGTGACTTAGCTTTTTTTGCATTATGGTTATAGTAGTTAAACTTATAATAGAAAACTTTTTCGCTTCGTTTTTTTTGTGTTACAGTCATTCTTTTATGTAGCAGTCATTAAATCCCAAAACAAACTTTTCTTGCTTCACTTTTTTTATATTACGATTATTATTTTGCGTAGCAATCATCAAATTCCAAATATAAAAAACTTTTTTGCTTCGCTTTTTTGTGTGACTTTTCTGTTATATGAAAACTGCAACATATCACAGATTTTTGTGTAATGTATCTGTTATGCAAAAACTATATCGCGTCACAAATTTTTGTGTAATATTTCTACAGTGTCATGTCACACATTTTTTTGTATGATATTTTATTGCGTCACATCACACATTTTTTTGTGTGATATTTTTACTACGTTGTATCACACATTTTTGTATAACATTTCTACTGCGTTACGTTATGCATTTTTTGTGTAATTTTCTGTTATACTAAAACTTCATTTTTTTGTGTGACACAATAATCTTTGGATAAAAAAATTTTTTCTCAAGTTCGTATTGTATCATACAAAGATACTTACTTATCCTATAATTTGACAATAAAAGCAGCTAAAAAAACTAAAAAATAATTAATAAAGTGTACAAATATTGTAACTAGCAAAATTATAGTAATTTGCTTTGGTTTTTTTTTGCATTTCAGCTATTTTTTATGTGGTTTAGCTTCTTTTTGCATTATGGTTATAGTAGTTAAACTTCTAATAGAAAATTTTTTCGCTTTATTTTTTTTTGTGTTGCAGTCATTCTTTTATGTACCAGTTATCAAATCCCAAATAGAAATTTTTCTTGCTTCACTTTTTTTTATATTACGATCATTCTTTTGTATAGCAATCATCAAATTCTAAATATAAAGAACTTTTTTTGCTTCGCTTGTTTTGTGTGACTTTTCTGTTATATGAAATCTACAACATGTCACAGATTTTTATGTAATGTATCTGTTATACGAAAACTGCATTGTGTCACAAATTTTTATGTAATATTTCTATTGTGTCATGTCACACATTTTTTTTGTGTAATGTTTTATTGCATTACGTTACACTTTTTTTTTTGTGTGATACTATATTGTATCACACATTTTTGTATAACGTTTTTACTGCATCACATTATACATTTTTTGTGTAATTTTCTGTTATACTAAAACTGCATTTTTTGTGTAATACAATAATCTTTGGATAAAAAAAAATTTTTTTTTCTCAAGTTTGTATTGTATCATACAAAGGTACTTACCCTATAATTTGATAATAAAGACAACTAAAAAAAACTAAAAAATAGTCAATAAAATGTACAAATATTGTAACTAGCAGAATTGTAGTAATTTGCTTTGGTTTTTTTTGCATTTCAGCTATTTGTTATGTGGCTTAGCTTTTTTTTGCATTACAGTTATAGTAGTTAAACTTCTAATAGAAAACTTTTTCACTTCATTTTTTTTTGTGTTGCAATCATTCTTTTATGTAGCAGTCATCAAATCCCAAATAGAAACTTTCTTGCTTTACTTTTTTTATATTACGATTATTCTTTTGCATAGTAATCATCAAATCCCAAATATAAAGAACTTTTTTTGCTTCGCTTTTTTTGTGTGACTTTTCTGTTATATATTTTGTGTAATATATCTATTATTCGAAAACTGCATCACGTTACATATTTTTTGTATAATATTTCTACTGTATCATGTTACACATTTTTTGTGTGATGTTTTATTGCATCACATCACACATTTTTTTTGTGTGATATTTCTACTGCGTTGCATTATATATTTTTGTATAATATTTCTACTGCGTCATGTTATACATTTTTGTGTAATTTTCTGTTATACTAAAATGTATTTTTTGTGTGACAATAATCTTTGGATAAAAAAAAATTTTTTTTCTCAAGTTTGTATTGTATCATACAAAGATACTTACCCTATAATTTAGTAATAAAGGCAGCTAAAAAAAAAACTAAAAAATAATCAATAAAGTGTATAAATATTGTAACTAGTAGAATTGTAATAATTTGCTTTAGTTTTTTTTTGCATTTCAGCTATTTTTTATGTGACTTAGCTTTTTTTGCATTATGGTCATAGTAGCTAAACTTCTAATAGAAAACTTTTTTGCTTCGTTTTATTTTGCATTGCGGTCATTCTTTTATGTAGTAGTCAACAAATCCCAAATATAAACTTTCTTGCTTCACTTTTTTTCATATTACGATCATTCTTTGCATAGTAATCATCAAATTCCAAATATAAAGAACTTTTTTGCTTCGCTTTTTTTGTGTGACTTTTCTGTTACATGAAAACTGCAGCATATCACAGATTTGTGTAATGTATCTGTTATACAAAAACTGCATTGCGTCACACATTTTTGTGTAATATTTCTACTGTGTCATGTCACACATTTTTTTTTGTGTGTGATGTTTTATTGTGTCACATTACACAATTTTGTGTAATATTTTTACTGCATTACACCACATATTTTTGTATAACGTTTTTACTGCATCACGTTATGCATTTTTTGTGTAATTTTCTGTTATGCTAAAACTGCATTTTTTGTGTGACACAATAATCTTTGGATAAAAAAAATTTTTTTTTAAGTATGTATTATATTATACAAAGGTACTTACCTTATAATTTGGTAATAAAGGTAGCTAAAAAAAAATAAAAAATAGTCAATAAAGTATACAAATATTATAACTAGCAGAATTATAGTAATTTGCTTTGGCTTTTTTTGCATTTCAGCTATTTTTTTATGTGGTTTAGCTTTTTTTTGCATTACGGTCATAGTAGTTAAACTTCTAATAGAAAACTTTTTTGCTTCATTTTTTTTGTGTTATTATCATTCTTTTATGTAGCAGTCATCAAATCCCAAATAGAAAATTTTCTTGCTTCACTTTTTTTTCATATTACGATCATTCTTTTGCGTAGCAATCATCAAATCCCAAATATAAAGAACTTTTTTGTTTCACTTTTTTTACATTACGATTATTTTTACCTCACAAAAACTATATCTTAATTGTATATTCAAGAATCTATTCAAGATAATACTTCTTTTATGATGCTTTGTGATTATGATATGTAATCCTCTATATATGTATAAAGTAAAAAGTAAAAAATTGATTCTGCTAATATATCTATTTAATTGTTTTCTAATATAGAACAGGTTGAGTTGAACAATATAACACCTATAAACCCAGAAAATAGAATACTTCTGAACCCAAATTTAATACCTTTGAACCTAGAAGATGGAATACCTCTGAACTCAAATATAACACCTTTGAATCTAGAAGATAGAACTCCAAATCCAGAAAATGAAGATGAGATTATTAGTTTCTTTATTTGCATTTATTTATTAAAGTCAAATAAACTACTTACTTATTATTTTACCCTAATAATCCAGTTATAAACCTTTGTGTTGGTTGTGTCTTTGAATCATAGAAAAGTGATGACATTATTATGGAAGTTTATGGTAAAAAACATGGATTTGTGATTATAAAGAAACGGTTAATTCATTATGAAAATAGTAGTATTAAGTATCATAGTTTTGGATGTAAATTTGGTGGTCATTATCAATCAAAAAACTAATTGATATTAATAAACATCGAGATCATAAATCAAAATGCTAACAATATGTATGAAATGCAAATTTCAATTGCCCCAAAATTCTCAAACCATAATCCTTACTACTTTTAATAATTCGCATAACCACATGTTATTTCCTAATATTGAAGAATACTCAACAAAATATTAGTGTGTCTTTGATGATAACATTCTCAAAGAAATCCAATTCCTTATAGAATATGGAAATCTATCAATTACTACTCAACGAAAGTTATTAAAAGAAAAGTTTCTAACTCTATCTATTCTTGATTGTGATCTCATTAATGCAAACAAAAATATAAGGTTAAGGCAGAAGTAACACATAATGCATCTTGTTTATTAAAAAAACTCATTCAACATCAGTTAGATGATCCTAGATGGTTTGTCGAGTTTTAACTTAATAAAGTAAATAAACTTACCTGACTTTTTTAGATATCTCTAACTCAGATTGCTCTTTGGTTAGAATATTATGACATTATTTTGAATGACAATACTGCTAAAACCAATCACTACCAAATGCTACTTTCACTTGTCCTTGTTGTTGATAACAATATTAGGTCTCGTCTTATTGCACAAGCTCTTGTGTCTGACGAAACTACTGAATTCTATAAATGGGTTCTAGAATGTACAAAAAAGCAACAATGACTGAACTATTAGTATTCATTACTAATGCAAATCCCGCTGCAGATGTAATAATCAGACAAATATATTTAACAACCTACCCAATCTATTGTATTTTTACATTAGGAAAAATCTACTGAAAAATCTCAAATCCAAGCTTGATGATCAATATGATAGTTTCGTTCGTGATTTTTTTATATGACTTAATAGTTTGTGTAAAGAACTTTTTTATGAAAAATGGTCAAGTCTTATTAAAAAATATCTCTAAGTGAAAGATTATTTTATGAAAGCCTTCTACCTTAGCTGACAAGTATGGGCTCATGTGTTTACATCAAAGATATTCATTGCAGGAGTACAAATTACTTTCTGAGTTGAGAGTTTGAATAATATTATTAAACGTGAGTTAAGAGCAAACAGTAATTTGTATGACCTTGCTAGTATCCTTGATGCATAGCTTGGAAATGAAGTGCAATAGAACTGTTTTTTCGAATACTGTACCCTATTGACCTGTATGGAAATCACATTGGTTAGCAACAATCTTTTTTCTGATATTGACAAAATGATGTCTAAATACCTGACACCTCATATCTTATCTGCTGAATACTTGGAAATGGCGCAATGCCTTACTTTATTGTGAATAAAGCTAGACCAGACATAGTTGAGATAATTTGCATCCTAATTTTGGGGTTAAATCATTAATAAAATCTAACATCTAACATATTTGCTATATAGGATCCAGGCGTTAATGTGATAGATGGATTTATTGAGGACCTGTATAATGCTAAACAAATTCTATTAAATCAATAATTGCTAAAATTAGTGAAAATAACATTTGTGAAGTATAGAAGATTACAGATATATGATCTGAAAATAAAAAACATGTATATTTTGTGGTAGTAGTTGATCCTATTTCTTATCTTTGTTCTTGCATGTTTAATATATCCTATGGCATTGTTTGTTACCACTATTTTTGAGTAATGATGATTTCAACAGTCGCAGGATTTCAAATCCAAATGATACCTTCATAATGGTATATTGATGATCAAAAAGACAATAATATAACAGTAGAGACTTGTTGCTTTATAAAGCCAAGAGGCTATAAAAAATTTTTTAGGTATAATATTTACTTTAAATCCTTCAACTATTCCTATAACAGTTACTACTATTTTACAAAAAAAGGCCAAATATGAGAAAGTGTAGGAATTTGCACAGCAGGCAACTTAATAAGCTGTTGAATATAACAGTCATAGTAAGATTATTGAATGGCTAAGACAGTTTATTAATTGGTATAAAGAAATGATAATTACACATACTGGATTAATATGAAATTGAGAAATTTAAGTTGATGATACTAACAAAGAAAATAAATCTGAACTAATTAAAAATCTATTAGTATTACGATATAAAGAACATTCCAAAATAAAATAATACAAATCATCAACTGAAAAGAAATTACGTGCAAAATATACTTGTAGTTCATGCGATCAATCAGGACATAATAGTACAAGATAGTGATACCTGACGAAATTACCTTTCTTAATATGATGAAATTGACGAAACCAAAATGATGAAACTAGTGTTTTATTAATGACAAAATTATTTTACTTAATGACCGAAATTATATTTAACTTGATCTAAATCCCTTGAATTAAAATACATTAAAAAATATAATAATTTTATATTTATTTATATAAAAATATTAAAGAGACAAAACTTTTGACGAAATTATAATTTTTCAAAAAAAAGTTTAATCAGGTATTACTAGTGCAAGATGTCAGAATCAGTAAGTATTCATTCTTTTTATTTATTCATTTATTGTATTCCTTTATCTCTTCTAATCAATTTTTAATATTTTAGATCATAATATGAAAATGAAATCCTGAATATATTTCTAAATTTCTTAACGAATTTGGATGAGAATAAGGGTAGAATAATTGGATATATAGAATAGGTTGGGTAGGAAAATTGGATTTTTTTCATTTTTTGAACTTTTAGAGTTAAAAAAGCATGATATGCAAAAGATATCTGATTGGTTAAGATAGATTTGCTAGTTTTTTTCAAAAACCAAACGGACTATGTGGATAAAATATCATAGCTGCAGTTGAATATTAGTTCTTTTAATAAAGGATTATAGGAAAATGTTTTTGATTTTTAAAATAAAAAAATTATTTTTAATTCACATTAGTATTATAAAAATATATCATAAAAAAATAATACATGTCATATGCTGATAATCATTTTATTACAGATTATTTTATTTGAAAAACTGGCTGACATTATACTATAATTTTAGTCAAATTTGATCCTATTTTCTGAGATTGTTACATATATTATATGTAATGGGTTGTTACAATTAAACTCATCCAATAAATAATATTAATTAATTGTATTTTGAAATATCATTAATAAATTTTCTTACTTTTTTCTTTTGTTTAATGAAGAGATCTCAAAACTTTTAAAAATAAATTTAAATTTATCGTTATAAATTATTTTAATTCCAATTTTTGCATTATTAAAATTGCTTCAAGATTACTTTAACTTTAACCACGGAGAGGTTATTCTATAAAATGACATCATAATTAAAGATGGTACAGCAATTGATTTCAAATTTACAAAATGTTGCAACATAAGCTAAAATTAGTTGCAACA